CACAACCTGGACATGTGCCCTGAACTGGGAATCAAACCAGTGACCTCTTGGTGCATGGGGTCGACGCTCAACCACTGAGCCACACCGACTGGGCTTGATGAATATTTTTAACTTTGTGAATTATACTCAGTGCCACTGAAATATACAGTCTGAAAGGGTAAACCTTATGGTTTGTGAATTATGACTCAATAAAGCTGTTATTGGAAAAAGTCAGAATTGGAATGAGGCTGTCTCGATGCTGGCAGTAATAAAAACTTTCCAGATGGTGTGAGCGGGCATTGTGGGGTTAAGTGCTCAAATGGACTGATTCTCATAGTAGGGTCCCTGGACCAGCATCAGCACATCCTGGGAGCTTGTTAGAAACACAATCTTGGGCTGAACCCCAGACTTACTGAACCAGAAACATGTGTTTTCTAAAGCCTGATGCCCCCCTGAAGACTGAAAATCTGCATGGCTAACGCATTATCTTAAAAATACAGTTAGACCTGGGTTTACAGCCTGGTCTTTGCGACTTTTATCATGTGACCATGGTTAAGTGACTTAACCCCTCTGTGCCTCCGTCTCCTCATGTAAATATGTGATTGCTTTCCCCTTGGAGAGAGTTGTGTGCATGAAATGAATTAGTATGTTTAAGGTGCTTTAAATGGTACATGGCCTGTAGTAGGTGCTCAACAGTAACATGTGTTATTGTTCTGATTACTCCAGAACTTGTAAACTGTGATAAAGAGGGAAATTGTGTTGTTAGTCCTAGAGGTGGCATCTTCGGGCACCACCATTGTCTCCCTAGCACCTGACCTGACCTCCGTGCCCAGCCTCTATAGTAGCAGGTGCCAGAGAGGAGAAGTTAGAAGCCGGGCAGGGGAGTTGTGCTCCTGCAGAGCTATGCCGTGTGCATGATGATACCGACACTTAGTCAACAATTTGCACGTTCTGGGAACTGGACGCATGCCTGGTGCATCTCACACGTTACCCCATTTAAAACACAGCTTCGATGGCAGGGCGGGGCAGGAAAATTCCCTAGTGCCATGCGTCTCTGTGGCTGCCCTGGCAGACCTGGGTGGAGGGGTGAAGAGCTGCAACAGCAGAAAGCTTGGTAGTGACCAAGCCGTCATTTGGACTCAGAGTTGCCAAGTCGGGTGTTGGTAAATTTGGGACTGTCTGAATTTCTCTTGCAGTCAGATGTTGGAGAAGAGTCTGTGCTTCTGCACTGGGGTTTTGATGGGAGGTGAAGGTGGAAATGGGGAGAAGCCAGGTGGAGAAGGAGGCTGGAGGCCAGAGAACCACTGTTTGATGTGGTTGTGTCTTCATTGGCTTCAGTGGGAAGAAGACTTCGGCTCTGGGCTGGACAGGACAGCCCGGGAAACAGCGGTGGCCATGTCAGCTCGAGTTAGAGCATGAGGTCTGAGTACTTCGGGGGTAATCAGAACAATAATACATGTTACTGTTGAGCACCTACTACGGGCCATGTACTATTTAAAGCACCTTAAACATTTTTAAGAGATTTTTAAGATAATGCATTAGCCATGCATTAGCTTTCAGGGTGTTTGATACAATTCCCTGGAATTCCTAAGATTTAGAGAACTGGCTTTGGTAGCTCCATAGTGAGAAGGCAACGGAGAGATTCTGGGAATGGTATTAGGGAGAGGGGCCAGAAACTATTATATAATGAGCAGGTTGTATGCTAGGTGCTTTCAAGTCATTTAATCTCCTTGCATCCTCCTCAGAACTCTATGAATTAGGTATTATAATTGCCCCCACCCTGAAAAATTTGTGGAAAAATTGGGACTCAGAACAACCACATGACTTGACCTAGGTCACAGGACCATAAGCAGGTAGGAACTTAGGCCTCTGCTCTTTCAGGTCCAATGCCACCTCATGGGTCATTTCAGGAGAATACGGGAACTCAGAGTCTCAAAGGCAAGTGGGCAGCCTTTGAATGGCCTCAGGGTGTTTGGTAAAAATACGCCCTCCAGGGACTCTCCCAGACTTGCTGATAGACTCTCTAAGGGCGGAACCTGAGGCCCGGTGTTTGTACCCCCACTCCCGGTGCTGCTGATGCTGCGCCGGGTCAGGAACAAGCCCGCCTTTCCTGCCCCCGTCCCCATCCTCCATCCTGCTGTCCGTCTCCCCGTTCCCAGCGGCTCTGTGCTGTTCAGGCTCTCAGCATAAACTCCTCTGTTAAAATTCCACGCAAGATCTCAGCCCACGCACCCTCGGGAGTCCACCTGGGCACCTGGGAGGGCAGGGGATGGGCAGCAGTGCTCTTAGGGGAGTGTCTCTGAGCCAGTCAAGTGACACATAATCACCAAGGACCCTCAGCTGCCAGAAAAGGGCCTACGCTTTCTTCACTCCCCTCGCCCCGAGCACACAGCTTTCTCTGCAAAATGTGTCTAGTGACCTGCTTTTCTCAAGGCCCTTGGAGGGTTTACGTTCCCTGCAGCATGGAGGCCCCCACCCTCCCGGGTGGAAGGAGAAGGCGGCCTCCTCGAGGTGCCTGGAAGTGGGGGAGCTGAGCTGAACCACCGAAAACTAGGGCCACCCACCTGTCCCCAGGAGAGGGCCGCTGGAGCTGCCGTACTCACTGCACCCTGGGAGCTGCTGGCGTCTTCTACTGTCTGGGCACAGAGTTGAGCTTGAACTTCAGACTTTCCCATTCATGCTCTTAGTCATCTTTTCAGCAGACTACTTTTGCCCCAATGTCCTTAGGAATCTGGATCAGCACTCACAGAAACAACACAAACAATAGGAAACACAGCTATTTCTAAAGGGCTCTCTTCCCTCTGCCGCTGAGGACTTGGGAGCTACAATCCGGCCGAGAAGATGGGGAGGCGGAGGGGTGATGGCCCTTTCCTCAGGCTCCCATGAAATATGTCAGGTCCACCCACAGCTCTCTAGGGTCGGGATGTGGGAGGCAGATGGGCCCAGGTGAGTCCCCACAGGAGGAAGAGGCTTAGCAGGACATGTCCCACGCAGCCAGCTTACTGGGGACTTTTCTCCTCTTTGCTAGGCACGGTCTGTCACCCAGCTCTGGCCAGCAGCCCGGGTCTGTCCCAGGTGTCGGACGGTCTGGGGTGTGGATCTCACATGCTCCCACTTGTCCTCGGGGCTTCTGCTCCATGTTCTCTGGGCTCTGCCTTGGCAGGAGCCCCTCCTCGGCTCTGCTGTCCATCTCTCTCCCTGCTCATCCTCTGTAGCTGGTGGTCTCTGCTGGCCCAGGCTGTTTGCAGAGGTGGGCGGGAGAAGGGGCTTCTGTGCCAGAGACGGTTACTGTAGCTTTCCCGTGTCTGAGGACTAAGACCAACATCCTTAGGCCGAAGGCCAGGTCCTGCTGAATTGGGGAGGTGGTGCGGGTGTGTGTGTGTGTGTGTGTGTGTGTGTGTGTGTAAGAGAGAGAGAGAGAGAGAATAACAACTTGGGGAAGTGCACACAGATCTCCCCTCTAGTTCCTCATGCTGGGTCTTCTGCCCAGAACACTGCCCACCACCTGCCCTGGTTAACACCTTCCCAGCCTTGGGTCTCAGCTCAGATGTCCCTTCCTTAGACTGGCCCCCAGGCTGGATCTGTCCCCCCACCCCACACTCTCTTTGTATCTTTCCCTCACAGCACGCACCACAGCTTGGAATTTACATCTCTCACTTAATTCGCGTGGCTTCCCGATTGATATCCATTTCCCCCCAGACCTTACACTCCGTGAATGTGGAGAACGTGTCTTTCCTGAGCCTCGTGTGGTGCGCGGAGCAGGCTAGGCATTCAGTTAAAATTACTGAGCAAATGAGTGGAGGCTTCGAGAGGCTCGGGGTGGGGACCACTGTCCATGCAGAAACTTCTAGCCGGAGCCCCGGCTGTGTGCACATTTTCGCTCAGAATTATAGAGCATATTGTTCCTATTGTGGGTTTCTTAAATTAGTATTTTTGTGACTATCAATACTTAAAAATGATCCGGAACTCTGGGAGACCATTGTTCCTCACTTGTTGGATCTAATGACATCGGGCTAAGGCCGGCTGATGCGGTGGCACCCTCGGCCATCACAGGAACTTCGTGCCTTGCGTGTGGCCCCTGGCAGCCCGTGTTCTGCAGAGTTTCTCAGAGTTTTGTTGGGATTTACCGGCAGGGCTCAGAGATGCTGGATCAGGGCTCGACGGGGCTTCTTGTTCCTCGTGGACTTACTCCACCAGGGCGGGTCCTTTCCAAGGGCACTGGTTATGGCCACTGAACCAGGGAAATGCTCGGAAGCCAGCGACCACTTCCATGGACATGGGTCCCTGTGCCTCTCCCGGGCAGCACACAGTAGGTATGTTCTTCGTGACACAGTGAGTGACCTGTGGCACCGAGCGGCTATTTCTTGCTGTGGTGTTGGCACAGGCAGGAATGTTCCCCTGTGGCAGGAGCTTGATGGTGCCACGGGACACGGGACACCACCCAGCCTCTCCACGTCTTTACACTGAAATGCTTGTCAGCACTGCCCGTCTTTTTGCAGGTCATGTGTGACCCAGTAATGGATGATGAGACCAAACGTGAGGGTCATGGCCAATATTTATTTATTTTAAAATAATTTTTTCTTTATTGATTTTAGAGAGAGAGAAAGGGAGAGGGAGAGAGAGATAGAAACATCGATGAGAGAGAACATGGATTGGCCGCCTCCTGCAGTCCCCCACTGGGGATCAGGCCCACAACCTGGGCATGTGCCCTGACCGGGGAATTGAACTAACAACCTCTTGGTGCAGGGGTTGGTGCTCAACCACTGAGCTACACCAGCTGGGCATGGCCAGCATTTAAAAAGAATGAAAAGAGAGAACCTAGAAAAGATTAGATTGCAAACACAGTGAAAGCTGACTATTCATTTGTGAAACGTTTCTTTCAGACTTGTGTATGCGCGCGCCAACTCACACAATCAAATGTATTTCTTTCTGGCTATCAAAAATATCTGATAGCTACACCGGACAGCACGTCCTGCTTGGACTTTCCAATGTCACTACCACTGGTTTGTTTTTTCTTAAAGGTATGCCAAGTCCAGTCAGATCAAGACTGTGTCAAGCAGCAAGATCTTTTTCAAAGGAAGCAGATTCCGATATAGGTGGGTACCCATGGTTCCATTTTGACGATGGGGTTGGGGGGAGGGGGCAGACATTTGCATCTGAATGTTTTGCTTATAGATCAGTGCACTTTGGCTTACACCCTTGTTTTGGTCATCCCTTTCCACATTGTCTTCTATGCTCAGGGGCACCCTCAAACTCCATAGGAACTTCCCCTCGGGGAGGGAGAGGTGTGGGTTTCTAGAGCTGGGTCTGACCGTGGTGTGCACACCCCTCCCCTTCAGCTCTGAGTGTCTGCTTTTTGTCTTTTGCAGCGGTAAGGTTGCCAAAGAGGTGGTGGAGGCGAGCTCCAAAATCCAGAGGGAGCCTCCGGAGGTGCACAGGTGAGTGGGTGCCCCCAGGGCTCGGGAGGCTTCTGGGATGGATGGAAGGGTTTAACCATGGCTTTGCCAAATGACAGGAAAGGGTGTCAGGGCCCCGCTGCGGGCTCTCTGCTGGTGTTCAGCCCTGGTCCCGCGTGGCACTGACACTGTCCCGGAACTCCCCCAGACGGACTTGGCGGGGCCGCGGTGTGAGCGCAGCTCAGCCCTGTTTTGAGTTGTTTGCTCTGTAGAGAGTCATTGGCTTGATTGGACCTTGAATGTCACATGAACAAGCAGGATGTGTGGGAGTCAAGTCTGTGTCATCTGTCCTCTTAGAACTGCCCTCTGTCCTGCCTCCGTGTCAGACGTGGCCGGTTCCCATCAGCACCACTCCTCCGGGCTATTTCACACGAGGAGGCAGGGTGCTCCTGTCACGTCGAAGTCTTTATTTGCAATGAATGAGGACTCGTCATTGTTGGTTCAAGGCACAGGTCTTCATTGTGGTGGCTGTATATGCAATTCCTAGGTATTAAATATTTTCTTTGCCTTGTTGAACTTCACACCTCCACAATGTACACAGTCATGGTGTGTCCTAACCCTCAAACATGCTAAACATCTGAAGATGAACATTCTCATCATGATGCTTCCTCCTGTGAGGGCAAGATCATCACAAGCTATGTTCTTTAGGAGGTTTCCACACCCTGGTTGGCACCTGTCCCCCTTACCCTGTCTTTGAACTTGGAGGAGTCTCCCTTAGACTCAGATTAGCCCCATCTCCTCTCCAGGGTGACTGGGTGAGCTGGGTTCCTCTCATCTTGTCCCTGGGGTTGTTGGCCAGGGGAGCTTGTGGTCTCTCGGAAGTGTGGCCAGGCCAGCCTGGGATGGTTGTCCAGATGTCACTTCTCCCTCACACAGGAGCGGACCGCTATTGACACGAGAGCCCATGCAGCTTTGCACAGAGAATCTGCCCTCCCAGGTTTTGGATGACCCAGTGGGAAGTGCCATGTGCAAGTCTACCAGACCAGTCCTTCCTGCTTCTAGAAGCAGAAGAAAACTGTGGGTGCAGGGAGCTGGAGCACCTTGGCCAGGGCCATCTTGGTGCAATACCTGTGAAAGTCTTATAGCCCACCCATCAGTGACAACTGTATTTTATATTATATTTTATTTTTATTATTATTTATTTATGTAGTTTTAAATCCTCACCTGAAGGTACTTTTAGATTTATGTTCAGATAGAGAGGGAAGGAAGGGGGGGGGGGAGAGAGAAAGAGAGAGAGAGGTGAGAGAGACACATCGAATGATTGCTTTCGCACAACCCTGACCAGAGCTGGGGACCAAACTGCAACCGAGGTCCTTGACTTTGACTGGAATCAAACCCATTACTCATTGGTCCATAGGCTGAAGCTCTAACCACTGAGCAAAATCAGCCAAGGCAACAATTGTCTTTTTAAAAAAATAGTTTTTTTTAAAGCTCTTCTTCCTCCTCAAATTGTGGTTACTTAGTGCATCAGAAACAAAGAAGAGGAATTGATAAAACACATCTCTTGAGCTTTTCCAGAATCTTTGGTCTGGAAATGAATGACCTGGGGGATCACCTAGTTTGATGCATCTGTTTTACAGACAGCAGAACTGGTGTCTTGGAGAAAGGAAATGATTTGGCTAAGGTCATACATTTGGGGAGGGGCACACCTAGGACTGTGCTCTCTTCTCTAGCATCTGCCACCCCGAAAGCCTCCTGCATTCTCTCAGCGGCTGGGAGGCAGACGACCTCAGCCGGGCTTGCTTCTTCCAGTCTGAAGCTTCAGTGCTTGACCTTAAAACAAAAAGAAGGAGAATTAATGCTGGGAGTTATCTTGATGACGCAAACACAAAGTAGGCAACCGTTTCCAATGATGAACTTTCAGAGAGACACATTCCAAATTATTCAGCTTTCCAAGAGTCCCATAGTTACAGTCTATGGATGGTTAATGGGATCAGAAAAGAATAAAAAAAAAAAAAAACTTCTCTTTTAAATTGAAGTTTGCATAACTTATGGGCATGCAGGCTTCCTAGATCTGGGCTTCTCAAACCTTCACTTGAGCAGGGATCACCTGGGGACCATGTTAAAACAGACTCTGATTCCCGCATCAGGCACTCTGACGGGCTCCCAGGTGATGGCGGTGTGGCTGGTCCATGTACGGACACTTCGAATAGCCAGGCTCCAGATGATTGATGGTGAAGGGGCTTAAAGAGGCAGACTGGCCTCAATGAAAGCTTTTATTTCTGGACAGGACCCAATCACAGAAGGGTTGGGAAATGAGGCATCAGTCAATGTATAGTTTCCCAGTTCTGGACTCTTCTAAAATGCCCCAGGATATCACTGTACACAGAGACCTCCAGGCCCTCTGGGGACACTGTTTTGCACGCTCCCCCTTTCCCTTTTACTTCCCCCTTTTACGGGTACGTGGAAGCTGATTGCGTTCGCATCCTCAGGACACCTCTCTGGTCCTCTATTCTTTGGCAGCATCTCTCAAGTCTCTGACAATACAAGGAAGAATTCATTTTAATTGATGCTATAGAGCAAGCTGTGGGAGGACGAGGCTTGTGTCTGTCCTGGGCGTCTCCATATCCCCCACACCACCTGACACAGTGGGAAGTCAGTACATATTTGCCGAGTGATTGCATGAACCAGGAGTGTGGGGTGAGGGCAGAACCCCTGAGATGAGGGAGACCCGAGATCGGTCCAACGTGTGGCCCCGGGGCCTGACCCCCAGGAGGCAGCAGCGTGTGGTCGGAGCCACGGGGATGGGCCACTGTTCTTGCTCCTTCCCAGTAGCAGGTTACGTGGTAGGAAATTGTTTCTCTTAAACAATTATTCTATTTTTGAATTGTTTTGTCTTCTTTGATGACGAGAGTAGAGTGATGTGCTCTCTTTCTCTGACGTGTTCAGAGACGGCTGCTATTCTGGAACGGTGACGGCAAGGCGCCAATTAGCTATCCTTCCTCACACTTTCGGTTCTGTTCTTCAAAGAGTGACGAGTTCAGGGGCTGCTCCTGCTGAGATGTGTGTGTCTAGAGAGAGGCAGATGCAGACAGACTGAGAACACTGTCTTGGGATTTTTCTGTTTTTCTCAAAAAGAGAAGATACTCACGCTCATTTTAGTTCACTGATCTTTGCTGACGCAAGGTCCCCACGCAGGGCCCTCCAAACGGGCTACGTGGTGAGAATCACTTGCCCATCTCAGGGGCCTGGGCGCCCAGGGAGGGCCGTGTGAGCCACGTGGGCATAGCAGCCACCCAGGGGCACCCAGAGGTCAGGTGTCATGACTGGGTTCCATTCTTGGCTGTGTTGCCTACCAGCTTGTGGGTCTTGGGTAATTCCCCAAACTTCTCAGATCATCAGTTTAAGTTGACTTGTTATTAAAACGAGATGTATAATATTCCTTTGCCTACCTTCTAGGTTTTATTATGAAGATTGAAATAAAGTGCTTAAAAAATTATAAAGGGAGCCTTGGCTGGTTTGGCTCAGCAGTTAGAGCATTGGCTTGCAGACCAAAGAGTCATGGGTTCGACTCCCAGTCAAGGGCATGTACCTCAGCGGGTTCTATCTCCGGCCCTGGTCAGGGTTATGCAGGAGGCGACCAATCGATGTGTCTCTCTCACATCTATGTTTCTCTCTTTTTCCCTCCCTCTCTCCTGCTCTATCTAAAAAGAAAAAAAGAAAAAAGAAAAATATTCTCTGGTGAGGATTAAAAAAATTATAAAGGGCCATAAAATGTGAGATGGTGTATTATCATTGTCATCATCGTCTCTCACCCAGAAGGGGGGGCTGGAAGCTGTCAGACGCCTTCACGCTGCAGTCTGCTCGGATGCAGAGGCTGAGAGCGGGCCAGCGGCACTTCCTGCAGTCCTTCCTTCAGCGGTGCAGGAGCTCCGTGAGCCTCGTCTCGGTCGCTGTGCTTCAGGCCATCAGCTTTACAAACCAATCTTAGAATCAATACGCCTGCAGTTCCCGATGGAAGCCTTTCTGCCTCAGTAGTTCTTAATGACAGTTTCATCGGGCCCGGAGTACACACACGTGTGGGCTGCCAAGTGGGTCAGGCGTATGTGCAGAGTCAGCTGACAGGTGAGGGTGGAGAAACAGGGCGTGGACCCTCGCCTGGCCTGGGAGACCCCGCCACAGATGCTGTTACCTTAGGCACCCAGGTAAAGGGAGCAGTGGAGCCGATTGGGATGTCGGCACATCCTTAAGGAAACTGCCAGGTGTGGTGACACCTTGGACAGCTGCCAAGGGCAGGACGTGCGGGTAGCAGACGGAGTTCCCCCTCTGGGACTTTGCAGGATCAGTCACACAGAAAGGCAGTGTGGAGCACAGCAAAAGCACAGGACTAGGAATCAGAGGGTCTGGGTTGGAGTCCTGAGTCTGCCCTTCTAAGTATGTTTAGTCAAGTCATAACCTCACCGAGTCTCAATTTCCTCATCTGTAAAGATGGTATTGTTCTTGCCTATTTTACAGGCACATTGAGAAAAACAAATGAGATACAGTGTACACAAGTCACTTTGTAAACTGAAAAAGAGACATTTGAATTCTGGTGTTATATTTATTAGAACAACTGTGCTGACGGGCTCTTGAAGCCTGGATTAGTGGCACCTTTAAAAAGGTTGCAAGAGACCCAGCTGGTGTGGCTCCGATGTTGAGCACAACCTGTGCACCAGGAAGTCACCGGTTTAATTCCCACTCTGGGCCCATGCCCAGAATGTGGGCCAAATCCCCATTGGGAGGCATGCAGGAGGCAGCCAATCGATTTTCTCTCTCATTGATGTTTCTATCTCTTTCTCCCTCTCCCTCTCCCTTCCTCTCTCTCTAAAATCAATAAAGAAAAAAAATTTTTTAAAAAAAAGGTTGCAAGAAGAGAGTTACATAAAAAAACAAAACAACCCCTCCCCCCCAAAACCAAGGCAACCTTGAGTCTGAGGGAGTTGGCAGGGAAGGTGGGAGTCCTGCATTTCGATTCCAATGTTGCTTAGTCTTTCCCTCCAGCTGTCCTCCTGCCGAGGATCAAGGTCTGCATCCCTGGATTCTTGGTGCTCCAGGAAACCCCTCCTTATATCCACCTTTGGGTTTATCTGAGTCTTGTACTTATCAGGGAAGTCATGTTCACCTCTGACCCTGGCCATGGGCCCCTGCTACCTCAAGGCAGCAGGGACCTGTGAGCGTAGGGGCTGAGGCAGTGTCCTCCTGACCACCCAGTGCCAAGCGGGTGCCTGACCCAGCACTCGGCAACTGCCCAGCCACTGCAGGGGCGGGAGGCAAGCCGCAGGATGCTTGATCTCTCCAATTGAGTGTTGGGAGGAGGGTTGATGGGAACAAAAGGCCCTCTATGAAGGTTCACTCCAGGTCTCCTTGTGGCAGATACAGTGATTTCTGGGAGCCAGGACTGCCGCCAGCCCGGCTGGCATGGATGGTCAGAGTTGCTTTGTCAAAGGACGGGCAGGTGGGCTCCTCCGAGCGCAGACAGCTACACGGCTCACACAGACATGGCAACATGCTGTGCTCTGCAGAGCTAGAATCACAGCCAGGAACGACCACAGGCCCAGAGGAAATCCCACGAAAGCTCAAAGACTCAGAACCCTTCACAGGAAAAGAAAAAACTGCTCATGGGAAATTTTAATCTCCCCTCCTTACTCCTTCCTTCCTGTTTTCTCCCTGCAAGGAATCCACATCTCCACTTCTTTCCCTGTCAACGCCCTGTGCTTGCCAGGACTCCCCACAGGTGTCACCTGCCCTGTGAGGGCGTCCCTACTGTCCTCACTCACAGCAGGATCCGGCGCCCTTCCTCGGTGTTCCCATGGGAGTGCACCATCGGTCTCTCCTTGAGACCTGTGTTTTCCAGGTGTGGCTGTCGCACATGAGTGGGTCATGAAGTGGAAATAGGGGTCAAGACCAGCACTTTAAACACAATGAAATAGAAGAGAAAAAAACAGCAATTAATCACACGTAGCAAAAGCTGCACAAAACATTCACTTCGCTTGTGTCTTCCTGCGTGTGTGCGTGAAACCGTGTGTATGGAGAGGTGATATACAATGTATTTCTTAATGTGGATCTCAGTCAAAGTTTCCAAACCTGTTTCTAGACAGTGGGTTGCTTAAGGTGAGGATGGCAGTTCCCCAGAGCATGGTGGACTGTCATATACACATGCTGCAGAATAAGTAATTATAGAATGCAATAATGAGGAAAAGGACTCTGTGGTTAGGAAAGTTCTCATACATTTCCTTCCCAGCCAGTGCCAGCTGTGAGGTTTTCAGTCGAGATGCTGGCAGGCATGCTGAGCTTCCCGGTGCCCGCTGGGTAAACGGGGGAGCTGTCGGTGGCCCGGGGAACCCTCTGCAGTGGCAGTTGTGTCAAGCTGGGATTGCAGTTGGTTTCAAGCCTGAAAACCCCTCAGGGTGCACCTCGAGAATGGATAGGTCAGTCTCTGCCCTTAAGGAGCTCATCGAGGTGGACTTATTACCGTTAGTACAACCATAGTTACAGAGACAGAGGTGACATGCAGCGAGTTGTAAGAGGAAGGAGGGCCGAGTGAGCAGAGAACCAGAAAGGGAGCGTGTGTGGTGAGGCCGGTCCAGGAGGGCGTTAGGGGAAGGAGACATTTGACACCATCTTTGAAGGATGGGTTGGTATTGGGTTTGACAGGAAACACAGGAAGGGGAAGGCTCAAACACCGGAGGTACCCACCTCTCTGTCAGGCCAGGCAGCGCCCCCTGCAGCAGGAGTGTATATGGCTTCCCAGCTGCCCCCCAATGGTGAAGAGACACCTGCATTGTTTCCTTGCCATCTGCTGCCTGTCCCAGTCACTGACACATGTGCATGCTCCCTTCAGAAGGAGAAAGCAGAGCAGGTTCTGTGGCTGGTTGGTGACCGGGGCATGAATTTGAATGGGCATGTTCAACACTGATACTAGACATCAGATGTCCAGCGACACTACAATAGCTTGTAGCTCTGGAACATCTGTGCCATCTGCCTGGTAGAGGATTTTTTTGTTTGTTTGTTTTTTTTGTTTTGGGTGCTTATTAAATTAGTTTCAGCCATGTCCTTGATTCACTTTTCTGCGTGTCTAGTTCAGTGATACCTGCCTCTCATGTCCTTTTCAAATGCCGGTGTTGTCGTCCAGCGTGCCCAAGTCTGGTGACATCAGGGAAGACCTTTCCTTTCACGCTGTTGCATTAGGACACACGAACATTTGTCAGGACCTTAAGGATAAAGGAGGGCTATGCGTCCTGAGCGTCTAACCCACTGTGAGGGTCCGGAGGCAGCTTGAAGATGGACAGACTGAGGGGCTGTGTTTGCCGTGGAAACCAACTCCATCTGGCTTGTGTCTGTTTTCAGAGCCAACATTACCCAGAGCCGCAGTTCCCACTCCTTGAACAAACAGCTCATCATTAATATGGAGCCCCTGCAGCCCCTGCTGCCTTGCCCCAGTGAGCAGGACGAGGACCTTCCCCTGGGAGAGGGTAAGTACGTCCTTCCAGAGGCCCTTTGCGGGCTTACACAGGAGGAATGCGCCAGGCACTGATCCTGCGTACGGTAGATAATGGTTGGGGTGGGGGTTGGAGTGGGTCATAAACTGCGTTTTCAGTAAATAAGCAGTTGCACCGAGAGTTCTGTCAGTTTCTCCTGGAGAGAGCTCTCTGGTACAAAGCATCCCTAAAATGACGTGTTAGAGTGGCCATAGTGTCAGACCTGGACTGCCCAATGTGGTAGCCTCTAGCGTGGCTCTTTAAAACTAAGTTTAAATTAGTTAAAATGAAAAACTTGCCTTCTCAGCCACATTAGTAGGTTTCCTATGCTCACTAGTCACAGGAGACTAAGGGCCACTGTCTTGCGTGGCTCAGACCAAGAACGTTTCCATGCTGGCAGCAGTGCTCAGCTACAGTCACAGTGCAGTGCGTGATCATAAAGAATTACCCACAAGTCTCCACTGGTCATCCCCTCTCCGGCTCCGCATTTCTCCACCTCTAATTCCCTTTTCATAAGTCCTAGTCTGACGGTTTTGATACAAGCTAAAATATGTAGTCTACTTTAACCCAAAAGTTGTTAGTTTTTTTTTTTTTTTTTTATCCTCACCCGAGGATATTTTTCCATTTTTTGTACAGATAGAGTGGGATGGAGAGAGAGGAAGGGAGAGAGAGAGAGAAACATCGACGTGAAGGGACACATCGAGTGGCTGCCACCCGCACGACCAACCAGGGCCGGGGACAAACTGCAACCGAGGTACGTGCCCTTAGCGGGAACCGAACCCGGGTCTCTCCGGACCGCAGGCCGACGCTCTAACCGCTGAGCCAAACTGGCCAGGGCTTTTTTTTTATTTTTTATTTTTATAAAAGTTGTTAGTTTTAAAGACTATAAAATATGTGCCTCTAGGCTTCTTTTTTTGTTCCATTAAGGACTTACTTCAGGAAAGAATCTCACCACACTTCCTTGTTGCAGATACCTGGTGAGGCAAATCTCACACTCCTATTAATTCAAAGTTAATTAACAACAGTTCACCCACCCTGAAGTTACTGGGACCTTGAACACACACATAACATGCTTTTCCTTAGCTTTACGTGATTTGGGTTTCATCATTGAAAAGCTGGATACTGGGCAGTTTCAAGAGAGCAGGGCCACACTGTTCCCAAAAGATCACCTTCACCTTCAAGTCAAGAATTCATTCTAGGGGAATACTTTTTGGTTCGTAATAGGAATATGGTTTGGGAGGCTAATGCCTTTGGGGGAGAGAGAGCAGCAGTTAATTCATGCTGAAGTGTGAAGAATTTGTCAGCCTTTTCCTGAACAACAACAACAAAAACACCCCAAAAGCTCCAGTGGTTAGAACGGGGCACCTGGCTGCCAGAAGCACCAGGGGTGGAAGGAAGGCGTGCACCGTGCGAAGGGCAGGGTCTCAGAAGACACCCTGACACCCTCATTCCCCAAAGAAGATGATAATGAGAATAGCCTTGTTTTAAGTAATGGCCTTTACTCTGTCTCAACAACTAACTATAAGTTTTGTGCTAAATTAATTTTAGAGTCTCTGGGTCCATGTTGCTTGTTTACATTTTCCAGCACCTTCTCTGCTTTCGTATGCTTTCCAAGTGAAGTAAAAGCGGCTTTCATTGCTGGTCATCAGTGATTTTCTGGGCTTCCTCCCCAATGCCTAGAATAATGGTTTTAGTAGAAACCACTGTTTCTGGGGGGTCATGTTATCCCAAGGTTGAATGGAGAAGAGGAAGGAAGAAAGAATAACCCAAGCTTGGGACTGGGACTGTGCATTGTCTGCAAATATGGAGACCTACATGGGAATAAAAGTTGGAAGACCAGACAGGTTGAACAGTTACCATGGCAATATGAAGCCAGGCTACTGTTGCCCCAGGAACCCTAGCATTTCAAGGGTAACTGGGAAAACTTTTCCTTGGGTCCACGTACCCCATTCAATTAGGAACGTCTTTGCTCCATTTTCTATAATGTTTTCCACTGCCAAATGCTCCCACGTCTTTAACACGACAATGCTGTGAACAAGAGACATGTACATTATAATCGATTGCAGTAAAAATAAAAAAAATCATGACATATGATAGAATCCATAAACCACATTTTTTATTTTTTCCAGGAATTCTAAAGCAGAATCTTAAATTCTTTCACCAGCTATAAAGTGAAATGAGAATATTGTTAAATGTCCAATAGATAGATTGAACTCCCCAATCTAGAGAAGAGAGCAAAATCATCTTAGGTGCTATGAAATTCAAAGTTAGGGTGCCCACAATGAACCCAGTCCTGTGTTCTTGACAGCATTACATCTGGGTTACTCCTCAGAGTTCGATTCTGCACCATGTGTCTTGTCTTTGAGTGTCAGACAATGAAATTTAGATACTCCATAGGGATAAATACTTATTTTGTAGATCTATATTTTTCTGGTACTTGAAGAGAAGAGAAACAGAGAATAATACAGCTTTAAACAAAGATGTTTTTGCCTTTGTGGATGGGCTCTGTTTCTGGGTATATACAGTGTAATGTGTTATATTTTACCCTTGGATTTTGATATGTTAGTGCTTTTTATTTCTGAGCAAGAGCCAAATTAAAACAGGCTAGGAATTCATTCATTCCTGAATACAACACTGACAAAGACAAGGTATACAACTGGTAATCCTACTTAGCATGTGCAAGTTGCTGTGTCCTATCAAGAGAAAGACACTCTCTTCGCTGGAGGCTCACAGAGGTTCTGCCTCTGCTAATGACTTGTGTGCTCACTTTTCTTCATGCCTCGTGGGATATCAGTGTCTCAAGCTGCCTGGAGAGTGTCTTGTGTCCTTTTAGTCCGATTAGCATGTCTGACATAGAATTAATTGGTGGGCAGAGGAATGAATGGATGACACTGACAGGCACAGGGAACTGTGTGTGGTCTGGTCCACCTGCATTGGTTGCTTGTGTGGCTTTGAGGAAGAGGGTTTAGGGGAACAGGGAGAGGTGAGGCAGAAGGTTAGGAAGGGGCCAGATCGAGATGGTCTCACATGACTTGCTGGAGAGTTTAGACTCTAACCTGAGGGCAGTTGGGAGGCACTGGAGGGTTTTAAGCATGGGAACGACCTGATTGGAATTGTGCTTTGTGTCATTTGTGGATGCAGAGGGAAGATGAGAGGCGGGTAGGACTGGAACAATTTTTCAACCTCTGAAGTATTGACCTTTTGAACTGGATAATTAATTGTTGGAGCTGGCTCATGTATTGTACAATGTTTAGCAGGACCTCTGGCTCCTACCCAGTAGATGCCAGTAGTACCCCACCAGTATTGACAACCACAAATGTCTCCAGGTATTGCCACATAGCCCCTGGGTGACAAAGTTGCTCCCTGGTTGAGAATCACTGGGTTGGAGGCATGGAGACCACACAGAAACCATTGCACTAGGCCGGAGAATAAACAAGAGCTGATCTGAGACAGTGAGAGTGGGGCCCAGGAGGAGGTTGGGGATTCACGCTAAAGCTGCAGACCTGTCAAGACGGGGTCACCAGTGACATGGCAGGTCTGAAGCCTGTGTACTCCTGTGCAGGTTTGGCCCTTGTCTCCCAGACTTCGGGAGTGAATAAACCTCAAGCTCTTTGAAGAGGAGACACTTGAAGATTTAAGTCAGCGTCACACAGGCAGTTCGTGGCAAACTGATTTTGTTGAGATATTGGACATGTCTTTTGTTTATTTAGTGCAGCACACTGCTTCACTGAGCCTCGAACACAGAGGAGGAGACGCGGATGGCGCTTCTCACTTTGATGTTGCTGTTCCCCATCTTTGCACAGTGCCTCAGGTTCTTGTTTGGGGGAATTGCAAATCACACAGTTTGATTATTGGTTCCAAAAACAGGTTAAGGGTGGAAGTGTGAGTCCCATTAAAGGATTAGAAACTTTTAAAAAGAATGTCTTACTCTGACCTTTGGAGGCCCCACTTCTGTGAAGTCACGGAATGTCCCCTGGTGGTGGCATCTGCTGCTACCATGACTCTCCAGGTCATCACCACCCATTTGTCTGACAAGGTTCTTCTGTTCTTCCCAGAACTTCGAGTTTCTCAAAGACAGCTGGGCAGAGCACGATTGCCCAGAGGAGCCCAGTGGCATTCTGGGAGACAGCTGGGCAGATCATGATTGCCCAGAGAGCCCAGTGGCATTCTGGGAGAACTCGCGACCCCATTCACCCATGCGACAGCTGAAGGATTAGCTCTGAAGGTGGCTGTGTCTCAGGAGACAAAAAACAAAATCAGTTCCTAGGCACCGCTAAGCAACAGAAAGGTTTTCAATGTTACCCCTAAGTTGCCCAGTTACAGGATCTGAGTAGATTAGTGCTGTGAACTTTGGATGAGAATGGCAAACCATTTGAAAACTGCCACTCGGGGCTTTGGAAAGACTTGAGAGAAGAAAATTGAGGGCGGGGATTGTTCCAGGTGAAAAGTACATGCTCAGGAGTCATTTATCTGCCCATGCCAAATGGAATAGAGTCTTCATAGTTTAGATAGCAGAAGGCTAGCATGTTTTATTGGTGGAGTATATTTTTCTTTAAGGAAAATGCTGGGTCATAGTAGAGAGGAGAGTGAAATTAGTCATGTGAGACTTGGTAGTTGGGGAAGACTGATGCCCAGTGATGATCATCTTGTCTACCAGAGCAGTGGCGCAGGCTAGCAGAGTTAAACAGGCAGGACACCATGCTTTCTTCCCCTTGGTAGATGAAACTAAATAAGAGTTGCAAATGCTTGACAACTTCCTGCTGGTATGGTGGAGACAAGACTTTCTACAACGGGAAGTCTTGGGGGCAGCAACGTGGTTGGGCAGAGGGTGGCTTGGAGCTGCGTTGCATAATGATTGAGAAAATGTCTGTATCAGAGAATAAATGGAAATTAGGGAGGGTGGTAAAATGAACTCTCCCAAGCCACTCTTTAGCACTGTCGCTGTAAATGTTGGGGTGTGTGTGTGTGTGTGTGTGATAGGTGTGACTGTGTGT